GTTCATATCATACATAACACCAAGGTAATGTAAATCGAGCCCAAGGTTACATTTTTGGCTTGTTTGATCAATCAGGTTAATCAAATCAAGTGAAATTCTAAACATAGGCTCTATATATAGAGAGCATTCATGGGGGACCATTCTCGCTGTCTAAAATGCGTTTTTCAAAAAGTTATTTAACCCTATGTGTCTTAAGCTATGGTTAAGGATTTTGCATAATCCAATGGCATTCATGAGTTCTTGGGCTTATTGCACTTGTAGATTGTCCACGCTCCTATTTGTAGAAGAAATCGTGTTCTAAAACACTATGGATCGATGGGAAATCGCCTTGGAAGGGATTAAGCCTTGGTTCATGGGAGATCTTGCCACCGGCGAGGCTTTGACGGTGAGTTTGGCTTGGGAGAGGTGGAGGGAGACTAAGAGAGTTCAATGGAATCCAGGGTCAGGCTTAAGGAGGCTTGGAGAGAGAGATCTTGCAATAGTCCCCCCAATAGAACCCTAATAGCCTTATTTATAGGTATAGCTTCTCGATGGACGACCAAGATCACTCCTAGGGCTAATTAGGAGGGAATTGAGGCTCCTTAGCCGTGGTCTTAGATCATGGGAGGATTAAGAAGGATTTAAATGCAATAGGGGGGGGGATTTTGACTTAAATAGGTCAAACTTGACCATGAAAAGCTTGGGTTGACCAAGCCATGAGTTTACCTAGTCAACATGGTCAAACTAGTCCAAGTGGGTGCAGGGTTCGGTCAAGAATGACTTGAAATTGATTGTGATTCAAATAAGGGTAATTTGGGCTAGTTAGGTCAACATGGGTTGACATGATCAAACGGGTTGTCCCAGGACCTGGGTCTCGGCTCAACAGACTTGATTTGACCCACTGAGCCCAATGAAAGTGTCCTTGGGGTCTGGCTTGGTCAATTTGACCAAGTCAACCCCCCTTGACCCAAGGTTTGGGTGAAAATCAAGGTCAATAGGGCGACAATTTATTGCAAGGATAGACTATATGAGTCTAAAGTGTCTACTAGAATAGAGGATGAGGACCAATGAACATCAGTTAGGGGTGGTTATCCAAGTTACTTGGATATGATTGTGAGATCTAGTGTCACCCAAGACTAAAGAACAAGCTCGCGGATGCACTATCGATGAATATGGATGAGCTAGAGCTAACAACTCTATCAATACATGTGTGCTGATGGGAAACAAGAGCACAAGAGGTACTAATTAAGTATAATGATATATCAGAGTATGAATTCACCTGAGATTCACACAAGATGATCAGGAAATAGTTCTCATCCTTCCAACACAAGGTGCATTTTTTGGGTGGGGGAGTATTGATACGTTAGGGGGGGCCCACCTTATGGGGCCCAAGGGGAGTTAACATTCACTATGTAAGGAGGAGAAATTAAAGGATAAATAATCAGAAAAGTTTATTTAGGGAAATATAACTGATTTAATTTAGATTGGGGAGGAAATTAGGAACAATTTATTTAAGGAAATGGCGCTGATTTGAATTTAGTTTTATGAGGTAATTTGGAAGGTTTTATTTAGGAAAGATGGTTGATTTGAATTCAGACATGAGAGAGAATTAGGAAGGTTTTATTAAGGGAAAGAAGAATGATTTGAATTCAGATTTGGGAGAGATATATGATTATTTATTTAAGGGTAATTATGATTATTTTCATTATGTGATTTATGTTTGTTATAGTTTTCATAGGAGTTGTTCTTAGCGGCGTCTAGGATTTATAGGAGAGTTGATCTACTTCTCAAATATTAGATCAATGGTATCTGTCATTATTGTTGGAATATTAATCAAAATCAACCCCTATATTCAAATTCTTATAATTTTCTACTTGTTACCTTGTTGTTAATACTTCCAAAAACACAACGGAAACATCTCCATCACATATATTCTTAAAAATAGGAGCCAACACACTCATTCTTCATTCATATGGCATCTTTTTTTAGTCTTTAAAATAATATTAAAAAAATTAGTAAACAAAAAATCATTGTTCTCCTAAGCATTTTCACGCTCCTATTGGAATATCATGTCCTACTATTTTTCCCTATTTACTTTCTTTAACTCCACTTCAACTTCGGTTTTACTAATATGATGATAAAAATAAAAATTGTTATTTTCATTTAGGGCGCTAAGATTACTACAATTAATCATACTCGTACAATGTTCATTGAAACATTTATTGAAATATCTCACTCACCTACGTGGAATATCATTTTCTAAGAAAACCACTTTTTGATCTTCATCTTTAATAACTTCACTATAACTAAATATTTACTTCTCCTATCTTTTTATTTGTTTAACTTTACATATTTTGTCTTTCTTAGTATATAATATATTATATAAATCATTAAATATAAAATTCTATGCATCACACATTACTTTCATAGAACCCTACAATTCAAACTTTTTACATCTAAAATATTTTTTTTTATAAAAAAACTTCTTATTCTGATCTTTTCTCACAGGACTAATTGTGGAGTAAAAAAACCTATGCACTTCTTGGTCTCCGGAATGAAAATAATTCTTTTTAGGAAACCTAGAAGAAAGGTTTTGACAATTAGATATTCTCATCAAATTCCTAGAACTCTCTCCCAAAGTACAAAATGATATAAATAAAAACAATTGAAAGGGTCTATTGATAGATTTGATTAGGGGCAATTTATAAATACCCAAAAAAAAAAAAAAGATTGATACCTATTGTTGACCTCACTTTTAGTGAGGTTGATCTTCCTCTATGGTTCTTCTAGAATCTTGGATTTCTAGCCTTAGTTTAGAAATAACCGCTAAGATTTCCCTTATGTGGATGTCAGATAACAATGTCGATTAAACCTCGATCGCGTTGATTTGCTTCCAATCGAATAGGTTTACACTATATCAAATTCAATCAACCCAACTTCAAGTTAATGGATCGGGTTATGACTCGACTCGAGTCGTGTTTAGTTCGAGGCTAACAACTTTGATCGACTTAAATTAATTTATCTTCAATTAACCAAAATAATTTTGATAATATTTAAAATAAAATTGAATTAACTCTGTTGCGTCCAAGAGTATTCGCGGTGATAGAGAAATATAAAATTAATGTCTTAGCATTGTACGAAAATCCGGCACGCAATCAGATAAGAGAGAGGGTGTAGCATTCATATGAGACACCAAGATTTTTACGTGGAAAACCCCTGAAAAAAGGGGGAAAACCATGGGGCCTAGCCCAATTTGAATGAATCCACTAGTATTGCAATTGATTACAAATGAGGCCCTTTCTTGGGGGAAGGCCTTAGCTTGATGTACATTATATGAAGTATATAATGGGAATACAAAGAGTCACTGTTGACGTGTTCGTTTGATCTGAAGTACCATAGTCGAAGGGCGACGTAAGTCGGCAGGATCATAGTTGGCAGGCGATAGAGGTCAGAAGGACTGTAGTTGGTGGGTGACGTAAGCTGGGAGGACCGTAGTCGAGGGGCGATAGAGGTCGGAAGGACTGTAGTCGGTGGGCGACGTAAGTCAGGAGGATTGTAGTTGGCAGGCGACGGAGGTTGGAAGGACTGTAGTCGGTGGGCGACATAAGTCAGGAGGACCGAAGTCGGCGGGTGACGGAGGTCGGAAGGACTGTAGTCTATGGGCAACGTAAGTCAGGAGGACCGTAGTCGGCGGGCGACGGAGGTTGGAAGGACTGTAGTCGGTGGATGATGTAAGTCAGGAGGACCGTTCAGGTAGAAGTCCAATAATAGAAAGAAACCAACATCATATAGATGTATAACAAAAATCTAACGACGGACAAAAGTCCGGCCTCGGGTAAAAATCTGGCGACGAGCAGAGGTCCCGCGTCGTGTAGAAGTCCGACATTAGTCAGCGACCGGGGTGAACTCTGACGTTAGATGGTATTCGGGCAAAACTCCAGAGTCACTTGGAGATTGGGCGAAATTCCGGCGTTAGTCATAAGTCGGGTGGAATTCCGTTGTCACTAAAGTTGGGCGAAATTCCGGCGTCCCGTGGTAGTCGGGCAGAATTCTGGCGGTAGTCGAGGAGGAGTTTCTTCCCTCCTAATCTTATCTTCTTCCTTCTCTTTTTGCTTGGGCCCTCTCTCAAGAGAAATGAGGGGCTTATTTATAGATATTCTGTAGTGGCATGGCCTGCTAATAGGTGAGAGATCAGAGGCAAATGTGGAGTAGTTCGATAGACGATCGATATTGAATCCTTTGATCATGGACATTGTTCGTCAGTCATTTGAAGGTCTTAGTGGTGTCAAAATTCAGAGATATTGGGCTCGTTAGATTCGTCTCGTCGAGTCGCTCGATTAGATTATAAGCTCTTCATGTTTGGAAACCGTTTGGTAACTCAAATTGTGGTTGGAACCTTTCAACAATGCTTTAGGTCCATGATTTGGACTCATTTGGGCTCGGATTGAGTCGAATTTGGTGTCTTTGGGTTCGTATTTCCAAGATGTTCAGTTCAACTGTATGTTTGCTGAAATCAGGACTCGGATGGTCCTAGTTTTAATTTCGAAAGTTTCCAACTTGATTTTGCATCGAGATTTGTGCCGATCAAGATAATTTTTTGATGACTTATCAAACTCAAACCAATTTAAAGAAAAAATATTGATTAAATGACAAGTTAGTTGGCGTAGATTCGATGTGCACTAAATTAATCTAAATAAATACAAATTCATTTTAAAATTCATTGAGTATGCTTAATAAAAAATAATCTAAAATCAATAAAAAATGAATCATAGCCCTAGTCGTTGTATTTAAATAAAAATCTATTCGAGATCAAATTAATTTGGTCTGAATATAATTTAACGAGAATCAAATCCAATAAAATTTAATCAAACACAAATTATATTCATTTTGAATAAATTTGAGCCAAATTAAATATTTTCTAATTCAATTTGATCCCCTATATTTAATATTAATAAATAGTAAAATAGCTATTTTAATGCCTTCAAAATCCTGCAGAACAAATCTCAGCCATTTTATTTTTCGTCCTTAATAATAAGCATTAGGGCATAAAAGGGGGCCGGCTCACTCATTCCTTCCCATTCGACCGGCCCTGATCGCACGAGCAGAAGGAAGAGCCGGCGTGCGTGCGTCTTCCTCATTCGGCCGACTCTAGGGCAAGCGGCGACGGTATGCGTATGTGTCTATTCCTCTCCTCTTCGACCCTTCGATTCTTGCAGGCGTTCCGTCAGGCCGAACGTGAGAAGGCAAGGGGGCGGCAAGAGGCGAAACGACCAGAGAAGAGAGTTCTTCTTCCTTGTTTTCTTTTGATTTTCTTGAATGTAAGAGCAAGAGGGCTCCTAATCTAGAAGTTCAGTAGGAGTTTTTTATTAATTGCTCTGAAGAGATTGAGAACATAAGAAGGCTAAAACTTTTGCCTGTTTCTCTTACAAAATAAAATGTAGAAATGATGGAATTATATTTTATTGAGTTTCTTCAATGAATGGAAATAGTGATGCCGGGGTTGAATTTCTCTTCTAAAAGAATAAAGGATGTTAAAATTCCTCTTGAGATGCTATGCGAATTGAATTTCCTTTTTTTTTTTTTGAATATGAGAGCAAAGTGTTGAACTGCTTTTATACCTAAATGAATCATGTTGAAGTCCTTGTAAAAGACCATTGAGAAGAATTTTGAAGTAACATATGATCAAATTCTGATGAATCTCTAATCATCCATTTACATGTTGATTCAAGCCATCAAAAACATTTCAGTTTTATGTTTTTAAATCTTTTCTAATATGGAGATTTCATATACGTATTGTTCTCCTCTTTAGTTCTATGCCCCTATGGGATAATGCATATTAATAGGACTCCCTCTGATGTGAATTGAGGAGGAAAGGAGGATTTCATGTGGCTGGTTTTATTCTGAATTTCTTTTCTATGAGGAGATTTTGAGAAACTTTGGTACATACACTTATGATAGCAATCCTATAGCATGGAATGCTGTTATTTCTCATTTAATATGAATTGCTTATTTTGCTATCTTATGAAGGATATAATATCATTTGTGTTTGAATTCAATTTATAGAATCATTTGTCGTATTGCAACCATTCGCATTCGTGGATGAAGATCGAAATAGTATAAAATTTATGAATTATAGGTTAAGACTTAATGAACATCATTTATTTGTTACGGACAAGGAATTTTGTCATAAAAAATTATATATATCTACCTTATCACCTTCCTTCAACTCGAGACTTATTCTGAATAGCTTTATCCTTTCATCATATATTGAATCAATCATCTATTATCAAACAAATGCAGATTTTCACAAATTTGGCTCTCCAAATTGTTTTGGATGTTAGAAAAATGTAGATCTTTGCTCTCTAAATGAGTTGAATACAAATTTTCATTCTCCTTATACTCATTGTGAAATAGGAAATAAATGCTGATTTTTTACTTTCTTTTGTGTTTCAAACTTATATAGAAATGAGATAAATACATATTTTATTTCTCTAATTATTTTGGAAATTAAATACATGCAGATATTCATAAATTTTGCTCTCTAAACTATTTTAGAAGTTAGAAATAGCAAATTTTTCTCTCTAAATGATATGAATACAGATTTTGTTTTCCAAACTGTTTTGGAAATGAGATACATGCAGATATTCATAAATTTTGCTCTCTAAACTGTTTTGGAAATTAAGAAAATGAAGATTTTTGTTCTCCAAGTGAGTTGAGTATAGGTTTTATATTCCAAATTGTTTTGAAAGTGAGAAGAATGTAGATTTTTATGATTGTTTTGCTTTCTAAGCTATTTTTGAAAATTAGGAAGATGTAGATTTATGTTATTTAAATTTTTTTGGAAATGAGAAAGATGCATAGTTTTGTTTCTTTAAATTTTCTCTATAAACTTTATGTTAGAGGCTCTTTAGTCATAAAGATACATGCTCAAATCAATATTGTAAATTCATTTGTAATACACCTATTTACTAAAGTTATTTCTTTTAAGGTTTATGTCTTATTCAGCATACATAATGACAACATGATAGCTTATCAACTATGTGCTCATCTCTTCAATTTTCTTTAATGAGATATTCTCTTTAAAAAAACAAATTTATGTTTATTACATTTGCTTAGTGTTTTCTTAATTGAATAGATACTACATTTTCTTAGTCTTTCATGTATTAAATAGATACTATACTCTCTTAGTCTTTCATATGATGAACAAATACTTCACTTTGAGCCATATTTTCTATCCAGTAATAAACATTTTATACATCTTGAGTTAGACTCTAATACAATATAATATGATCTCCTTCTATTCTTTAGTTGTAGACCACTAGCTATTCTTCCTCGTGCAAGGAATAGCTAGTGGTCTACAACTAATGAATAGAAGGAGGTCATATTATATTGTACTGGAGTCTTTGTTTTTATTGTTCTTATGTAATATTAGGCCTTTTTATATTTTTTGTGGTCTTTTGCTTGTTTTACAAATAATTTTGAGGCAATTTTGTCCTGTTTGGTAGATCAATTGGCTCATAGCTAAGGGGAAAACTCCATGAAAAGAATATGGCTGTGTACTACAAGTTTAAAAGTGCAAAAGATTATGATTCTATTCCCATTGAGGGACAATTCATATCTGTTGCAAATCTGAAAGAAAGAATTTTTGAATCCAAGCATTTGGGAAGGGGTACTGATTTCGATCTGATGGTTTCAACTGCTCAGACTAATGAAGGTTGTTTTTTTTTTAAAATCATTGGAAGATTTTATACATTCTTTCAAACATTCAATATGGGGGGATAATTAATTTAGTGAGGCGTGGTTAGGCAAATTATAGATGTTGATATGATAAATTTTCTGCCTGAAAAAGGTCTACTTTAGATTAGTTGTGTCGTTGTGGTATTTGGAAGCCTTTATTTTATATGTTGTGGATATTTTGATTGTTTCTGGTCATTTTTATTTTTGGGAATTGGTTTCATTCTTTTCTCATTGGACTTTTTATGGATGTTATGACCTCTTTCATTTTCAGAATATGTAGATGAAGCAGCAATGATTCCTAAAAATACATCGGTACTTATATGCCGGGTACCAGGGCGCCCTCGAAACCCTATTGTTACCGAGAGAGACAAGTACTATCTTGCATCCCAAGACTTGGTCTTTTGTTTGTTTATTTTTTTAACTCTTTTAATGGTGATGGACCTGCTCGGTCCATAGCCCCACCGGCCCCTGTGGGGCCGGTACTCATTTACTGCAGGCGGAGAACCCGCCTGCCTGGGCGGACAAACCAAGGGGGGGGGGAGTAAAGGGGTGGGCCCCTTGGGCTCACCAAATTGAAAAGGTGGCATGAGTTGTTTGCCCTAGGGGTATTGAGGGGATTTGGAGGGGTTTTATGTGAGAGTTAAAAGTGTGTTAGGGGGGCTTTTTGGAGGGATCTTGTTTTGTGGCTATTTTAGGTTTCTTCTTCTCTAGGACTTGGGAGAAAGCTTCCCTTCTCGAATTGGGAGCATTGTATCCGTGGAAACTTGTAAGTCTTTTGATATTTGAGTAAATGAAGTGTTTGTGAGTGTTTTCATCCAAGAAATTTCGCATTTTCCCATTGTTTTTGGGCTGTTTTGCTTGGAATCCGAAAATTACAACTCAAGATCCATCAAAGTGGTATCAGAGCGCTAGATCCACAAGGAAGGGATGGGTACACGAAGGATTGAATCTATTGAAGAGAAAGTTGGAGAGTGGGAAGTGGAGTTCACCGCCCTTAAGGAGAAATTTGCTTCCGTTGATGAAAAGCTTGATGGAGTAGAGGAGTTGAAGACTCAAATGTTAGGGTTACAAGAGATGATCAAACAAATGGTGGCGGGCCAACACAACATGGGGGGTTCGGTTAACCCTAACCCTAACCCTAATCCTATTGCGCCGCCGGTTGATGGTGAAGGAGGTAGTAGGGTTCGTGAGGGACCTAATGCAAAAGGGAAGGAGGCCATTGACATTGTCGACCATGGAGGGGATGCTTGGTCCGCCGGCCCAAGGGGGGGCAGGTATGGCCCAAACTGGGGAGGGGAGGACTACTCCACCGCCGGATTTATGGGAGACGCTAGGGCAAGCTATACTCAGAATCATCCAGAACAATTTTTCCAAGGAAGGGAGGGAGGAAGCATGCCTTACAATCAGTGGGGAGGAGGATCGTATCAGGAAGAAAATGAAAACAACGACGGGGAGAGGGAAGAAAGAAGAAATCAAAACAAAGATAAAACGAAAGGTAGAAAATCAAAACCGCGAGCCTTGGACTCTTCCGAAGGTTGACGGGTGATGTGTTGCCCTTCTCCAAGGGACTTCAACTCACGAGCCCGGACCCATCTTGCGGCTGGTGACAACTTTGATTCCTTCCCATAGGAATCTCACTCTTATTCTCTCCCAAGAACAAAGTGTGGAACACAAAATTTTCATATCAAATTAACCATCCCATTACAATAGATTAAGGCCTTATATATAGGCCATAACATGAGAAAATCAAAATTACAAAAATGCCCCTTGGGCCAAGACACTCACATAAACTATCCTAGGGGTAAAATAAGAAAATACATAAAACAAGAGCTAAAATTCAGAAAATAATACATAAATGAAAATTTAAATAATGCCCGTCGATTTACGACGCCGCCTGTGATAGATGCGCCAAATCTTCGTACCGATGTCCGCATCAAATGGTCTCAATGCAATGAAATAGAAGCGTTAATATTAACTCTAAAATTAAAGAAATATTTAGCTTCAGATTACACACTGATTTCTAGAAATTAGAAGCGTAATTTGGAGTGGGGCGCCATGGGGAATAATATATGTGAATAAGCCAAGAGGATAAAGGAGAGTCCCGGTTATATATTCTAGAAATCACTGAGCAATTGAATGCATACTGCAGGGCAACCAACGAGGGAATGCCCAAACCCCTATGAGATTTGGTCTTGCAAACATTATCCCAAGAAACTGTGGATTTTATTGTTGCTGAACGGATCTACAAAAAACAAAGCTCTCTTAAAAAATTTCATAACCGTTTTGGGTATAGTAGATCCACGGATCCAGTAAGCATTGGAATTCAAAATAGTAAACTTCAGAAATTGTAACCAACCAGCAAAAGAGAAGATTGGCTTTCCACCACGACATATTTTTGGTAATGTTATCCATCAGAGGCATGAAATTAGTAACTTTTAGTCTGTTAAAGGAGAGCGGGATACCCAAATAAGTAATTTTTTGGCCGATATTATGGATAGAGAGAGCTTGATAGATAGCATTTTGGTTTCTCAAGTTCTTGGGGAGCATAACAGAGATCTTATCAAAGTGAACATGAAGTCCAGTGGCATTAGCAAAAGTGTTGAGGATTCTAAACAAGATGGTGCAATTGTCTAAGCTAGCTTCACCAAGGACTAACACGTCATCCACATAAAGAAGGTGAGAAAGAGAGAAGCCATCAAAGGAGATCCCCTTAAATCCTCCATCCAAAAGAGTAGAGAAATCATCTATGACTAGACAGAATAGATAAGGGTTAAGATGACATCCTTGCCTCAAACCCGCAGAAGAGGACCTCCTCCTTCTATGGCTTCCTCGCTTCTTCCCTCTAATTTCCTCCTCTAGCGGAGCGCCTTCTTCTCCACATTGTCTTTGGAAACAAATTTTTGCCCCCATTGATCCTTCTCCTAAAGATCTCCATTTTTCCTTTCATCCCTCTGAACCGAAAATCATCCCTTTCTCTGGTGAAAAGTTGGCCAAAGGCGCAGAAGATTGGAGCTTTTATTTAGTTGGCTATTCTATTGGCCGAAGGCCTTTTTATAAAGCGTTACTTGGAGCCATCAAGAAAACCTGGGCTCTTAAAGGATCGCTTCAACTCCTTTCTCTTAGCGATGGATTCTTCCCGCTTCATTTCTCTTGCTCGGAAGACTTTGATATGGTGTGGTCCAGAGGTGTATGGTTCCTTTAAGGTAAGTCTTTTATCCTCCAAAAATGGCATCCTAAGTTTAAACCTAAGAAGGAGGATTTCTCCTCTGTTTCGATTTGGATCAATGTTTAAAATCGCGCAATCGGGTATTGAGACGTTTTTTGTTCATGAGGTGAGGCGTAAGCCTCAAGGCGTTTTGAGGCGTAAGCCTCAAAATTAAAAAAATTGCGTAAAATAATAATAAATGTCAAAAGTGATTTTTATATAATACTTAAATAATATGTTAAATGATGACATATTAGCTTTATATTGAATTATGAATTAACAAATTGACGTACACATGAAACAAAAAATTGCATAAGATCTAAAATGACAAGTAATAAATTGCATGAAATAGAATTAAAATCCAAATATTATAAAAGCAAAACAATATTAAATATAGAAATTACATAAAAGTATCATATAACATAAGTTCAACTCCAAATTTTCTTTTTTATCAATTATCTACTAATTTACATTTAATTCTTAATAAAAGTTGAAATAGTTGGCAACAACTTAGGAATTTTCTGCACTGTCATCACTGAGGTAGTCTTTATCTGAGTTGGGTCTAAGCCTCACGCTAGCGAGGCGAGGCGTGCCTCAAGGCGGGCCTTAGCTAAGTTGAGGCGCAAGCCTCATAAAAAAGCTAAAGGCGTAAGCCTTGAGGCATTTTTCACTATAATTGCGCTGAGGCGAGCCTTATATTGTGCAATTTTAAACAATGATTTGGATCAAGATACATGATCTTCCGTTAGCTTGCTGGAACTCTGAGGGTATTTCCAGAATCACAAGCAAGGTCAGGGTCCCTCTGGCGGCTGATAATTTGACCATTTAAAGGACTCGCCTTACATATGCCAGAATATGTATGCTTGTAGACATTGAGGCCACTTACCCGGAAGAGATCGTTGTTTCGCTTGACGGTGATGTTGTTTGTTTGAAGGTGCAGTATGAATGGAGGCCTTCTCCATGTGCGCACTGTAAGTTTTTAGTTCACTACTTTTCTCTCTGTCTGTCGAAACCAAACACCCCAAATGTTGAGCCAGGGAATCCATCTACTGCTGTTTTCTAAGGAGCATCCCAACAGAGGCAGAAGTTTTAATAGAAAACTGAGAAATCGTTGAACCCCTGATTTTCATAACGAACAAAACCTCAACTCTCCTCAAGAAACAAATACTAGCCATCCCCCCTCAACCACCAAAAATCTGCAGCAACCACCTATTACCAATTACTTTGGGCAACCTCTTCACTACTAGCCCCACTCCCCACCTCCTACGCATGTGGAGTCTAGCAACCCTTCATAACTAGACCCTCACCATTCCTTAGTCCAATCTGTTGATCCTGAGGTCGGCCCCTCCAACATACACAATTTAAACTCTCCCACTTAAGAGGATTCCTCTTCAACCAGCAACTTGCATAAGTAGGAAGTCAATCCGCCTACAGACGTTCTTTCTCCCAATAAATTTGATATCCTTCAACAACAGGAGGACTCCTTTAGGTCTGATTCTCTGGATATTGGTGCTGCTGTTGATAATAACCAAAATTCCAAAAGGAAACTCCACCAGGCTTCTAGTTCTGGCACGTCCAAAAAATCCACCTGGGGAAGCATGGCAAAAAGCCTCCCCCCATTCTAGTCCCTGATGGTTTCACTGTCCATTGCTGTCTGGAACATCAGGGGGTTTAATCGCCCCGATAAAGTTTTGTGTTGCAAACGTCTGGTTGACTCTTTCAATTTGGATATTATGTGTATATTGGAGAATAGGATTCACTCCCCCTCTCTTCAAGATCCCTTTTTTTGAAACTTCACATTTTGTTTTCTCTTCTGTAAACAGTTGTCATAATTTTGATTTATCTTCTTCTGGTCGTATTTGGGTGAAATGGAATGCAAATAAGATCCACTTTCAGCCTGTTTATTACCGCTCAGCTTATTTCGGGCTCTGTTTCTACTAGAAGCTTCCCTACGTTCCACCTCTTTGTCATTTATGCCTCCAACAGTAGTGTAGGCCGCTCGGCCCTTTGAGCTCTTATTACCCAAACTGCTCCTGACTTTGACACCCCTTGGCTCCTCATGGGTGATTTTGATTGTTGTTGCTATGCATCCGAAAAGGTGGGAGGCACTTCTTTATCCAATAGATGCTTATCTAATCTTAATTCCATGATATTTGAAAACAATTTAATGGATTTGCATTCGGTTGGTTGTAAATTTACCTGGTTCAACCAGCATACTAATAATCCGATTCATATCAAATTAGATAGTCATTGTTAATGAAGCTTGGAGAAGTTCCGTCCCCAGCTCCTTTTGTTCATTTCAAAGCCCTTCTTGCTCCAATCATAGTCCAATTGTCTTGCATTCCGGGGTACCTATGCATTACAATCACAGATTTCTTTTCAAAAATTATTGGACTAATTTTGATAAGTATTGAGTTTTACTCATTGAGGCTTTCTCTAAGCCTCTTTTTGGCAACCCTTTATCTTTCTTTTGTAATACCCTCAGGCAGCTTAAAGGTGATATTATAAAGGAGATTTGGGCAATTCTTCCAATATCAACTCTCATCTTGATGAGCTTCATAAACTTCAAATGGGTTGGTTGGATAAGGTCCATGTTGACCCTCACAACCCTTTGCTTAATGCGTCTCTTAAAGATGTTAATTCCAGAATCTCTGAATTTTCAAGTATGATTGCATCTTGGATTATTCAAAGGGGAAAAGTCAATTGGTTAAAGCATGGGGAGGATATTTACAATTTCTATATGCCAAAATCAGGAGCAGCAGGAACTATAAATCTCAAGCTGCCGTGAACTTAATTAACTCTTCCCCTAATGCTTCTAGATCTGATGTGGTTTCTTCTATTATCCTGCACTTCCAAGATCTATACAACCCTGCTCCACCTTCTCTGACGAATATGGATATTTTCCCCATTGGCTTCACACTTCCTGATCATTTAGTTACTTCTCTCACTCAGCAGGTTTCTGAAGCTGAGATTAGAAAGGCAATTTTTTTTGGTTCCTCTTCCTCTGCTCCTGGACCGGATGGTTAAAACTTTCATTTTTACAAATCTGGGTGGCATATTATTGGTCCTTTGGTTATTAAGGCTGTAAGTCCCTTCTTTTCTAAAGGTTACATTCCAAATGGGGTAAAAGCTACAACCTTTGCTCTTATCCCTAAACACAAGTATGCTACTTCTTTTTTTGACTTTTGACTTATTGCTTTATGTAATTTCTCATACAAAATCATCGCCAAGATTATTGCTAACAAGCTTATGCATATCATGCCTTTAATAGTCAGGGATAATCAAGCAGGGTTTGTTAAATATAGTGTCTACTGTTAACATTCTGCTAGCCAATGAAATTCTCAATACCTCTCGTATAAGGGGTGGCACTAAGTTTTTTTTTGTGCCAAATTAGACATCCGCAAAGCTTTTGATTCTGTTTCTAGAGAATTTCTGATTGCAAGGTTGATTCAGAAAGGTTTCCCTCATAGATTTGTTAGCTGGATTAAAGCCTGTATTTCTGAGGTGAACTTATCCATCATTATAAATGGTGCTATTGAAGGCTTTCAATATTAACCTACTGTCATTTCTTTCCTTGGAGCTATAACTATTAGCGATTTTCATTCTTCATTATGCTCTAAATATTGTGTTAATATGATCCTGTTAGAAGCATCAAATGAGCAAGCCAGTGATTCTAATTTACATCATTCCTTCTTAGCTTTACAGGATCGTTTTTTTTTAATTCCAGGTTTAACAATAAATGCTGAAATTTTTGTTGATTATTTGCAAGAGATTGAGGAGAGATAAATGCTGAAATTTTTGTTGGTTATTTGCGAAAGATTGAGGAAAGATAAGTGCTGAAATTTTTTTAATTAATTGCTCTGAAGAGATTGAGAAAATACGAAGGCTAAAACTCTTTCCTGTTTCTCTTACAAAATAAAATATAGAAATGATGGAATTATATTTTATCCAGTTTCTTCAATGAATGGAAATAATGATGCCGGGGTTTCTTATTTAATTTATCTTCTAAAAGAATAAAGGGTGTTAAAATTCCTCTTGATATGCTATGCGAATTGAATTTTGTTTTTTCTTTTTTTTTGTATATGAGAGCAAAGTGTTGAAACCCTGCTTTTATACCTAAATGAATCATGTTGCAGTCCTTGTAAAAGACCATTGAGAAGAATTTTGAAGTAACATACGATCAAATTCTGATGAATCTCTAATCATCCGTTTACATGTTGATTCAAGGCTTTTAAGCCAATAAAAACATTTCAGTTTTATGTTTTTGAATCTTTTCTAATATGGAGATTTCATATATGTGTTGTTCTCCTTTTTAGTTCTATGCCCCAATGGGATAATGCATATTAATAGGACTCCCTCTGATGTGAATTGAGGAAAGGAGGATTTCATGTGGATGTTTTGTTTTATTCTGAATTTCTTTTCTATGAGGAGATTTTGAGAAACTTTGGTACATACACTTAAGATAGCAATCCTATAGCATGGAATGCTGTTATTTCTCATTTAATATGAATTGCTTATTTTGCTATCTCATGAGGGATATAATCTCATTTGTGTTTGAATTCAATTTATATAATCATTTGTCGTATTGCAACTATTCGTAGGAGAAGATCAAAATAAAATTTATGAATTATAGGTTGAAAGTTAATGAACATCATTTATTTGTTACTTGTTATGGACAAGGAATTTTATCATAACAAATTATATATATCTACCTTATCACCTTCCTTCAACTTGAGACTTATCCTGAATAGCTTTATCCTTTCATCATATATTGAATCAATCATCTATTATCAAACAAATGCAGATTTTCACAAATTTGGCTCTCCAAATTGTTTTGGATGTTAGAAAAATGTAGATCTTTGCTCTCTAAATGAGTTGAATACAGATTTTCATTCTGCTTATACTCTATTGTGAAATAGGAAATAAATGCTGATTTTTACTTTTTTTTGTGTTTCAAACTTATAAATAAATGAGATAAATGCATATTTTATTTCTCAAATTATTTTGGAAATTAAATTCATGCAGATTATTCATAAATTTTGCTCTCTAAACTATTTTAGAAGTTAGAAATAGGCAAATTTTGCTCTCTAAATGATATGAATACAGATTTTGTTTTCCAAACTGTTTTGGAAATGTGATACATGCAGATATTCATAATTTGCTCTCTAAACACTTTTGGAAATTAAGAAAATGCAGATTTTTGTTCTCTAAGTGAGTTGAGTATAGATTTTATATTCCAAATTGTTTTGAAAGTGAGACGAATGTAGATTTTATGAATGTTTTGCTTTCTAAACTATTTTTGAAAATTAGGAGGATGTAGATTTATGTTCTTTAAATTTTTTGTAAATGAGAAAGATGCATAGTTTTGTTTCTTTAAATTTTCTCTATAAACTGTGTGTTAGAGGCTCTTTAGTCATAAAGATACATGCTCAAATCAATATTGTAAATTCATTTGTAATACAGCTATTTGCTGAAGTTATTTCTTTTAAGTTTTATGTCTTATTCAGCATACAGAATGACAAAATGAGAGCTTTTCAAGTATGTGCTCATCTCTTTAATTTTCTTTGATGAGACATTCTCTTTAAAAAAACAAATTTATGTTTATTACATTTGCTTAGTCTTTTCTTAATTGAATATATACTACATTTTCTTAGTCTTTCATGTATTGAATAGATACTGTACTCTCTTATTCTTTCATATGATGAACAAATACTACACTTTGAGCCATATTTTATGTACAGTAATCAGCATTTTATACATCTTGAGTTAGACTCCAATACAACATAATATGATCTCCTTTTATTCTTTAGTTGTAGGCCACTAGCTATTCTTCCTCCTGTAAGGAATAGCTAATGGTCTACAGCTAAAGAATAGAAGGTGGACATATTATATTATACTGGAGTATTTGTTTTTATTGTTCTTCTGTAATATTAGGCCTTTTAATATTTTTTTGGGCCTTTTGCTTGCTTTACAAATAATTGTCCTGTTTGGTAGATCAATTGGCTCATAGCTAAGGGGAAAACTCCATGAAAAGAATATGGCTGTGTACTACAAGTTTAAAAGTGCAAAAGATTATGATTCTATTCCGATTGTGGGACAATTCATATCTGTTGCAAATCTGAAAGAAAGAATTTTTGAATCCAAGCATTTGGGAAGGGGCACTGATTTCGATCTGATGGTTTCAAATGCTCAGACTAATGAAGGTTGTTTTTTTTTTAAATCATTGGAAGATTTTATAGATTCTTTCAAACATTCAATATTGGGGGATAATTAATTTAGTGAGGCATGGTTGGGCAAATTATACATGTTGATATGAGAAATTTTCTACCTGAAAAATGGTCTACTTTAGATTAGTTGTGTCGTTGTGGAATTTGGAAGCTTTTATTTTAATGTTGTGGATATTTTAATTGTTTCTGGTCTTTTTTATTTTGGATGGGAATGGGTTTCATTCTTTTCTCATTGGACTTTTTATGGATGTTTTGACCTCTTCTTTCGTTTTCAGAATATGTAGATGAAGCAGCAATGATTCCTAAAAATACATCGGTACTTATACGTCGGGTACCAGGGCGCCCTCAAAACCCTATTGTTACCGAGAGAGACGAGTACTATCTTGCATCCCAAGACTTGGTCTTTTGTTAGTTTATTTTTTAAAACTCTTTTAATGGCTAATCAAATTATTATGACCCGAGGATGTGTACCTCATTAAATGGTATAAGCTTTGCTTTAAGTAAACCTGGATGATATTAGCATTAGGTAACATTCAAGGAAAATGACATTCTGGTGACCAAATTTGTTTACCTGCAGGCCCAAAAGTGTAGAGGATAAAATAGAAGATCTTCCACCCTCTAGTACTATCATGGTTGGCAATTCATCCACAATGAAATATGTAAGCCCATTATTTTGAACTGGCCTTAATTATTTTAGATGTTTGTATCTTCAAGTACAATTTAATTCTACATCCCTCATGAAACTCTTACCAGAAATGAATTGCCATTGGTAAACAACACGCGGTGTTAGTTTGATATCAAAATGAAAGTAACATATATTATGGTTGTATTTTGCAGCCCGATGAATCTGAATGGTATGAGTTTGGGAATGATTTGTATAGTGTTCCTGAAGTTCATCCTGCTCAGTCAAATGCTCCAATTGTTGATGTTTCTCCTACGAACAAAGTTGATGAAGAGAGCAAGATTAAAGCTTTACTTGATACACCTGCACTTGATTGGAATCGGTGAGATATCCCTTATTTAATTCTGTTTATTTTGCAGTTGCCTGGTTTATTGCACCACGGTGATGCTCTAGAGAATATGAAATTGAATTTTATCTTTTTGTTTTGTGTATATGTTAGCTCTTCATGAAATATGTTGTGGTCTTATAGTGTCAAATGACTTTTACAGCCAAGGACATGATTCGTATGGTGCTGGCAGAGGATTTGGCAGGGGAATGGGTGGAAGGATGATGGCTGGCCGTGGTTTTGGTATTTAATTGATCTTATATTTACTCCTTTTTTATTCTAAAGATTAGTTATTAGTTCATGACGATCCCTCTAGCAAAATTTCTTGTTCATTTTGGTAGAAATTTCTCAACTTTACTGTTTAGGTGCTTGTCGCTCAATTTTGAAGTCGTTTTTTTAATTGTCTTACTGGAGGGAGAAATGATAAGAGAATGAGGTCGGTTCACTTGGTTTTGATATCAACATTATCAAAGATTTTAAGTTCTCAGTGGAGATAATTTTACCTGAGTTTGTGGGTTTTCTTAGTTCATTTTGCTTGAATATGTTTTGAGATTTTTATTGTTTAAAAACGAAGGCTAGTTAGCTTGACTTGTTGACAGCTACTTTTATATAAGTATTTTCACCTCTGTGTTCGAAGTTTTGAATTTATGTTCTTGACTGATGCTGTGTGGTTTAAACAAATGAAGCTCGAGGTATGATGGAGAAGAAGACGCCTCCTGCTGGTTACATCTGCCATAGATGCAAAGTTCCTGGTATGCTGATTATTATTATTATTATTTTTAATTATATTCTTATGCGAGTTTCTTTCAAGCTTTCCCTTTAATATCCACAAAAGTTTTTACATGGGTATTTTGGTTTTTTGTTCAGGTCATTTTATCCAGCATTGCCCCACAAATGGTGACCCTAGTTATGAAATTAAAAGGGTGAAGCCACCTACTGGGATTCCAAGATCTATGTTAATGGCAACTCCAGATGGGTCTTATGCACTGCCAAGCGGCGCAGTTGCTGTCTTGAAGCCAAATGAGTGAGCTACATTTGTGCAACTATTAATACTTTTTATTAGAGATCTCATCAGCCATTTTATTATTATTATTTTCTTTCTATTATAGAGCTGCATTTGAGAAAGAAATTGAGGGGTTACCTTCTACTCGATCTATTAGTGATCTTCCACCTGAATTGCACTGCCCATTGTGTAATGAAGTAATGAAGGATGCTGTATTAACCGGCAGATGTTGTTTCAAGAGTTTCTGTGACAAGTGTAAGAATTGAATTTCTGGGATTGTGCTCATCTTTTTTACATTAGACAAAAGAACTTTTGCCCTCTGCAACTTATGTAGATGTTTTTGCCTGCTAAAGGAATTTGAAAATAATGCTACCTTTCAACTGATTTCAAATTCTTTTTTGGTTGTTTACTTTATATTTAAGAAAAAATTGGTATTATGAAACATGTTCAGCTTATGAGTAAAATTTGTATTATGAAACATGCTCGCCTGTATCCATTTTCTCTTTTTTTTTTTTTGCTTTTGACACTACAAGATTATGGTTTTGAAACTTTCAATTGTAAACCGCTTTGATATCTTCACTCAGGTATCCGTGACTACATAATTAACAACTCGAAGTGTGTCTGCGGGGCAACTAATATATTAGCTGATGACCTCCTTCCAAATAAAACACTAAGAGAGACTATCAGCCGTATATTGGAGACAACTACAAGCAGCACAGAGAATGCTGGAAGCTTGGCACAGGTGCAAGGTAATTGATATATATATATATATATTAACTTGGGTGATTTTTGTTTCCATTAGGTTAATTATTTCTCTCTTTAGATATGGAATCGGCTCGCCCTGTACAATCCAGAGTTCCATCAGCTACTCTTTCTAGAACCTCGAAGGGTGAACCTAAGCAGCCTCTTCCAGCAGACAATACTGCATATATCAAGGAAGGTGAGGGTGCAAGTGAACCGAAAACTGATAATTTTACTTCAGTTTTTCCGGATAAGAAGTCAGAGAAAACCATGGATCAAGCTGAAGCAACTCCAATTCCAGAAGAGGCTCAGGAAAAGTTGCCTCCGGGTGATCTAGGTGGGTTGGGTGATTTTCTAACCTGTTCTTTTTGGCAATTGTCCATGTTTTTAATTTTCCTATTATAACTCGCAGGAAAGAAAAAGAAGAAGAAGAAAACTCGAATTGCTACTACTGGTTAGTTCATAATCCAAGATCTTGTTTTTATATATTTTTGTTTATTGTAATTTTGTATGTTTGGTCACATAAAACAGCGGCCTTTCGATGACCAGGTTAGGAAAGTAGAGGTATTAGATTCAACTTATGTTAAAAAAGGTAGAGGCAGACCTAAAAAGACTTAGTTAGTAAATATTAGGAATGACCTTTCTTTATTAGATTTAAACGAGAATTTGACTTTTAATAGGACACAATGGAGAAAAAGGATTCATGTAGCCGACCCAACGTAGTGGGATAAAGGCTTGATTTTGTTGTTTTTGTATTGTAATTTTGTATGTTTGGTTTGTATGGTTTTGATTTTTTTCCTCGGCTGTTATATTTTGTAATGTATTGTGTTTAGGTTCCGACATGCAATGGAGGAATTTTCAACAAGATTTTGGGTTGGATAACTTCGCTGGGATGCCTGTGGGTCCATCAAAGTCAGAGAAAACCATGGATCAAGCTGAAGCAACACATGATTTTACGAATGTAAAAGAGGCAGTATATGCAGAAGCAACTCCAATTACAGAAGAGGCTCAGGAAAAGTTGCCTCCGGGTGATCTAGGTGGGTTGGGTGATTTTCTACCATTCTGGTCTTTTTGGTAATGTCTCGAATAATAAATAGTTTTTTAGCAATTGTCCATGTTTTTAATTTTCCTATTATAACCCGCAGTTAAGAAAAAGAAGAAGAAAACTCGAATTGCTGCTACTGGTTAGTTCATAATCCAAGATGTTGTTTTTATATATTTTTGTTTATTGTAATTCTGTATGTTTGGTTTGTATGGTTTTGATTTTTTTCCTCGGCTGTTATATTTTGTAATGTATTGTGTTTAGGTTCCGACATGCAATGGAGGAATTTTCAACAAGATTTTGGGTTGGATAACTTCGCTGGGATGGCTGTGGGTTTATCAGCCTACAATCCTTATTGGGGTTTAGGGATGCCAATTGGAATTGATGGATTCATACCTTCTTTAGCTGCTCCTATGCCATACATGGTTTATACACCTACTAGTCCTTTTGATGTTCCTTTTGGGGGAATCTTACCACCTGATCCATATATCGCGCAAGGCTACATGATGCCCGGTTTTCCTCTGAGGTATTTTCACTTCACAAAAGTTTTATTTATTTATTATTATTATTTTTTTATTTGGATGTGATAAAACTCATTAAGTTCAAGTGAAAACATTAATATATTGAAGGCCATGATTGATTTCTTCTTATATTTCTTTGGTTCTATTTTGATTTTGTTTTGTTGTATACTTGTATCTCTTTTTTTTAGTTTCATACAAAATGAAAAACAAATGATATTTGTTTCTATTTTACTGGAACAAGAAGCGCTTTTTGTGTGATGCATGAATAGAAAAAGAAACTGTTTTTTTCTTTATTTTTTAAGTGAAGTTTTTTGTTTTGTCATTGAATAAAGATAAATGACAAATTTAAATAGAGCATAATTGTGATTGTGATTCAGCTAGTTTAGATAATTTTAATTGTTTGTCTTTCCTTATATTATATATTTTATACTAAATTATATCTATGAAATAGTTAAAACAATAATATCTGTAGTATATATTTAAGAATAAGATTAAACTCTATGGTAAGTTATGGTATAATTTTGTTTTAAAATAAATAATGTTATTATTTTTTTATCCTGCAATTGATATCTGTAATATATAATTTAGAGGATTATTAGTTGATGAGGATTTTTTTTTTAATTTTTATATAAAGCGATGATTTAATTTGCTTAAAGTAAGCTAAGTTGATTTTTTAATAGATTAAAACAATATAATAATTTCAATAATATTGTTAATTGCTTATACATTGTACTAATTTAATTATTTGAGATAAAAGTTTGTTTCTTGCCAATGTGTTGCTATACCTTATTTAATAAAATTTGATCAATTATTTATTTATTTATTTGTATTTAAATTGTGATTTGTGATAAAATTAAATAATGTTATAAAAAAGCTATTATTTATTGAGTCGTGTTTGTTAGTTAGAATACCTTGTGTTATATGGAGTTGATTTACTAAAATATCGCTGATTCAAGGAAATAACTCTGTTTATGTTTTATAGTTTTTTTCAAGGGATTTTTGCCAAAAAACAAGTTTTAGTGAAACTTTTCTCCTTCTAAAACCAAAAAACAGGTAGGAAAATGTAGACTGAAGTTTGTGGGCTACTTAATGAACATTCCTAGACATGTTTCATTTCATTGAAAATGAATTGAAGTTTGAACATCTGTAGTTTTCTGTATTAGTTGGATGCATTGCTTTTAATTTGGTTTCTTCCTCTGTTTATAGTCATATTCATTATCATTTTAAAAGTTGTTTGTAATCATATTCTTAGAAGTACACAGTCTTTTTATCTGAAATTTATACATTGCCACGCCATGGAGTCCACTTGCTGATGACAATCTATTTAAACTCTTAAAATTTCTAAGTAGTATTGGTTGTCCTATTCTATATCTGATCAGCCTTACCAATGAATCCCAATTTGCTTCAATTAACTATTTATCTTGAAAAACTCAATGAGTGTTATCTTTAAGGGTTTATTTGGGACTGTTGCAGCGTTTTATAAAGTTGATTGTAAAATTGACGTGGAGAAAATATATTTATTATTATGGCTGCAGAAAACAGATTTTTATTACATAAATTTTTAAAAAATTTTATTATGCTATTGTGAAGGTTTCGTTTGGGACAACTTTAATACAATTTTTTAGTATAAAATAGTTTTAATTTAAGAAGTTTTCATGCTTAAAAATTGTTTTAGAAAGAAAGAAAAAAGCTGTTTCAAATAAAATGTAAGTTTTTCTTTTTTAATTTGTTTCATACTGATATATGGAAGTTGTTGAAGGACGATATCCATTGGCAACCAGGAACTGCATTTTTGAAGGACGATGATGAACGCAATCAACTTATTCATCCCCTTGGTCGGCCTTTCGGCAACCATGGGATCCCAACATCCTTTTTGGATGATTTTGGCTGCCTGGGAGCTCTATAGGACTATTGTTATTCTGAGTCCTTCCTTTTTTAATTTCTTTCATTTTGTTATAGGTTTCTTTTGTTTAGAAGTTTTTTGCTGATAAGGTTTTGTTGTCTGCTACATGTTTGTTGTGTTAGTAGACAATTTTTTTACTGTAATTCTTTCATTTTTGAATGAAATGGGCTAAGGCCCCAAATTTTCCCATAAAATATATGGAAGTTGCTGATTCTTTTGTTTGTATGCTGGTGCTGCTGTGTGCAGGGAGTTCAGTAGGGAAAGAGAGAATGTGACTCCGGGAAAGGAGACCAATAGCAGTGTTGATGCTGTCTCACTGAAGAAGGCTAAGCCTGTATGTCTCTCTATTAGTTTATCATTGATTTGCTCATTTTCGTATTCTTCTATGCTTCTTTCTGCTTTCTCAAGTTTGAAGGGAGCAAAATGGACGGCCCTTTTTCTCTTTTACTCAGCCTTGCAGATTAGGCCGAATTAATTTCTTTTTTTGTTTAATTCTTTTTTATTTTCCGTGTAATGGTTCGTAAGCTCAATAGATTATGTTATGCGGCTTCACTTGTGGGCTTTTGCTTGCCATTGATGCCTTTTTATGTCTAGGGCATCTTTTTTTGTTTGCTTTTTTATTTTTTATTTTTTTATTAAATTGTTTTTGATAAAATGGCTCATTATATCCTCATTAGAATGGGTTTTAAAATTATTAAATTTATTTTGAGATGGGTGGTATTGTTAATTTTATTTAATTTTTAAATTCATCATAAAAATAAATTTATAATTTTGATATTCATTTTAATCAAAATTTATAGTGGATATTTTGACCCAAAAATTTAGTGGGGTCACAATTTCAATTGATGTCTAAAAAAATTTAATTTAAGTTCAATTATGTAAGAGGCCATTGTTTTTTGGAAAAAAAAATTGAGGGTTAAAATATTATTATTATTATTCTTCTTATTCTTTAGAATGCTAAAATTGTTTTTGACAATTTAGTGTAAAAATAAAAAAAAAAACATATTTGAAGTAATAGAATGATCATTTCGAACACTTTATTTCATATTCAAAATATATGCATAAGATGAAATATTAAAGATTATAGGATGCTACGAATAATAGAAAAGAATTATATGGGTGATATATTTCATGTTAAAGTTATATATGAGTGGTAGACATGTAATATTAATATTATGGATGTTTTAGATATGTAAATAGTATGAAATAAAATAATATCTATGTAAATTTGCCTTTTTTGTGTTGCTTTCTGCGATAGTATTTTAGCATAAAAATTTATGAAAACAGTTAGTTTATAGTGGCAAAAAATTGTCAAATAATGCAGATAATAAGATAAGATTTAAAATTATCCATCTGGCATGGGCATCGCCAGGATATACAATCCTTCTATTACAGCAGCCATCCGATCTGGATCGGGTGGCTGGCTGGATTTAAAAATCAGATTGTGCAAATAATTTAAAAAAATATATATAATTGTAAAATATAATTACAAAAACTTTGGCTTGCAGCAATTGAGGTCGGAGGTGTTAGAAATTATAAAAAAGCAGCAGCCAAACGTGGACCGGAGTGCCGGTCCGTCCCGCGACGCGGTTCGGCATTCTCCTCCGCCTCCCCGACCACCGCCCCTGAAGCGAAAATCATCCGACTGGGAGCAGTCGGACGGGGATGCCTCGGCCACGTCTAAGGCGGAACGGAAGCAGAAGGGAAGTGTGTTCTCTCGCATCAGTTTTCCGGCGGAGTGCGGTGATCCGGATCGAGGAACCGGCAAGCGGAGGAAGACCTCGTCGGATCCGCCCGACGGCTTGAAGGACCACAGCGAGCGGGAAAGGGAGCGGCTGCTCGTTAATGGATACATTAGTTCGTCGACCGGCCGAAGGAGCGGCGGCGGAGCAGGGGGATACGACTATGAGTCGAGCGATGAGGAGCGGCACTTCAAGCGGAGATCGTCGTCTTCGCGGCGGAAGTCGGAGGAGGAAGAAGCCGCCCGAGCACCTAGGGTATTGAGGGAGCGCGAGTGAACTAGGTGAAGCGTAGATGATCATCGCGGCCGTACGTCATTGATCGGACGGTCGGCACACCTCCGTGGCTGTCAAGGAGGTTTTCTTCTAGGCTACAAAAATTTACATTTTTTTTACTCTGGAGTGAAATGTGGCTTTGTAATTTTTCTTATGATGAGAATCGTCGAAGAGCTCTTTGCGACTTTTTTAAAATTATATTTCAAGTTTTAATTAGCCCTTGTAAAATAATGTTTGAATTATGAAATTGTTTGTTGTGCAATGTTTTTTCTTTCTTTTTTTCTTTTCTTTTTTATTGTACAAGCATCCTTTTTTTATGAGTTTGAATTATGAAAAGTAATAATATTTGCATATTATTTATGATTTTTTAATGATTAAAATTTAAAATAGTTAAAAAAATGTTAATAATAGAAAAGTACTTGGAAATTCTTTTTATTGCAATTTTAACCATTTAAAATTTAGAGAGAGAGAGAGATGAACTTCCATATAAATGATCTAATAATTAATAGAGGCTTAAATTTGAGCTTTTATTCAATTTTTCTTGGGCATTATAAAATTATGTAATAAATAATCAATGAACCTTTTTAAATTTCATTAGAAATTGTTGTTATTTATATTAAAATAAAAATATAACCCTCCAATGGGTGAGCACGAGCAAAATTATAAATATATTTTTTTGTAAATTTGATATATCATCTATTTAAAAAAATGCTATAATATTAATAATAATAATAAATTTAATTTGCTCCACATATTATTAGGGTTTAAATTTTTATATCATTAGTAATGTCATTATTACATAATTTTACTTTTTTTAGAGCAATTTTTTGTGTTACAACACATGCTATAGTGGACAACAAAAGAGTTGACTCAGACTTTATTTGGGACATCTTTCTTATTGCTTTTTAAAGCAGTTTTTTAATACAATAATTTTTTGAACTAAATCTTTTTGTATTAAAATGCTACTTTAAAAAACAATAAGAAAGTCGTTCCAAACGAAGCCTCAGACTTCATTTGAGAGTTTTTTTTTTTTCCGAAAAAAATGCTATAGAAAACAATGAAAAATTGTTCCAAACGAAACTTTAATTTTGTCTACCAGCATCACTTTAATTGTTCCAAAAATTTGGGCTGGCTCTGTCAATTTCTCTTTACCATTGATTTTTGCTTAATGATGAACTTATATGGCATGTCTTGTCTACTTATTTTATCAAGCACAGAAGGTTATGAAACAAATTGTATATTGACAAGGAGAGATAGTGATGGAATGAGGAAGCACAGAAGGTTATGAAAGAAAAAAAAATACTTTAAAATATTTTTACAAAAAGAGTAAGGAGTAAGCAAAAGTTTAAAAATTTGTACAAATTACATTGGAATCAAACTTATGAATCATGTAATGAAACTATGAGAGAGCCTAATGATATATAGACTTGAAAAATTTGTACTAATTTTTAAAAAATCAATTTGATTTCATGCTGTGAAGAGCTTGAATGAAAATAACTTTGAAGTTATTTGTGAATCTAATGTGTTGTGTATATATTTATCATAAATTTATAAAATGATAATGTTTAGTTTACTGAATTCATCATCTCCAATGCAAAATTATTAAATTGAAATTATGAGCATCATCATATTCCATAATAGAAAATTTGAATTATCATTTCTTGTTGATAATTTTTCTTTGTATTTCTATCATAGCTAGTAATTTACATTTCCATCAACTTTGCTCGGAGATAATTAAGTTTCATGTACATTTCTCTATTTATTTCTATTGCCTTAAAATTATCATTGTATACATAATTATTTTACATTATCTTGAACTTAAATCATGGCCATACTTGTTGCGTCCCGGAGTATTCGCGGCGGTATAGAAAATATATAGTTTAACGTCTTAGCATTGTACGAAGATCCAGCACACAATCAGATAAGAGAGAGGGTGTAGCGTTTATAAGAGACACTAGAGTTTTTACGTGGAAACCCCTGAAAAAGGGGAAAAAATCATGGGGCCTGGCCCAATTTGAATAAATCCACTAGTATTAGTTGTCAATTACAAATGAGGCCCTTCCTTGGGAGAAGGCCTTGGCTTGATGATACAAATATACATCATCTAGAGCGCATTACGTAGTGGGAGTTACAATAATCAACATAGACATGTTTATTTGGTTGGAAGAGCCTTTGTCGTCAAGAGACAAAAATCAGAATGATCGTAGTCAGCAGGAGACCGGGGTCAGAAAGACCGTTGTCTGTTGATGGAGGTCGGAGGGACCATAGTAGGCGACGGAAGTCAGAAGGATCGTAGTCGGCAGGAGACCGGGGTCTGAAAGATCGTTGTCTGATGATGCAGGTCGGAGTGACCATAGTAGGCGACAGAGGTCAGAAGGATCGTAGTCGGCAGGAGATAGGGGTCTGAAAGACCGTAGTAGGAGGACGGTGTTTTAGGATAACTCTCTGCGTTAAGTGGTGGCCCAGAAGAAGTATGGGCGTCAGGTGGTGGTCCGGTGGAAGTTCGAGTCTCACGTGGTGGCCTGGTGGAGCACAGGGCTTTAAGTGGTGGTATGGCAGAGCAACGGCGTCAGGCGGTGGTCCGGCAAAGGTGAAGGCCTTAAGTGGTGGTCTGGCGGAGCAACGATGTCAGGTGGTAGTCCGGTGGAGGTGAGGACCTCAAGTGGTGGTCCGACGGAGCAACGGCGTCAGGCGGATGTGAGGGGCCTCAAGTGGTGATCCGACGGAGCAACGACGTCAAACAGTGGTCCGGCCGAGGTAAGGGCCTCAAGTGGTGATCCGGCGGAACAACAGTGGTGGTCCGGCGTAACTCCGGCGGTGGTCGAGGAGACAAGGGAGCAAGAGCGATCTCCGATATCTCTCTTGTTTCCTTAGGCTTCGGGTCCTTTTTTCAAGAGGAGAGGCCAGGAGGTCTATTTATAGATTTCTTGAGTGGCATGACCTATAAATAGGTGACGAGATCAAGGGTAAATGGGGAGTGGTCGGATGAACGGCCGATGTTGAATTCCTTGATCATGCACTGTCCTTTAGGCATTTGAAGGCCTTAATGATGTCAAAATTTTGCGATCTTGGGCTCGTTGGATTCGTCTTGCCGAGCCGCTCAATTCGAGTATAAGCTTGTTATGTTTGGAAATCGTTTAGTAATCCAAATTGTGATTTGAACCTTCCAACAGCGCTTGGGGTCCTTGATTTGGACCCATTTGGGCTCGGATTGAGTCAAATTTGGTGTCGTTAGGTTCGTATTTCCGAGACGCTCAGTTCGACTATAAGTTTGCTGAAATTGGAGTTCGGATGGTCTCTGAATTAATTTTTGAAGTTTCCAATTTGATTTTGCATCGAGATTCGCGCCCGATTAAGATAATTTTTTGACTACGTATCAATACTTAATCTTTGGTTTTAAATTGTTTTTGCAGATTGCTGTTGATATGGTTAAAGCTTGGTATTGTGTGGTAGCTTTTGATAGAGTTGATATATCGAGGGAAAACTCGCTTTTTGTTATATTCAATGTTATATATGGTTGAACATTTTGTATATATTAACAATTTTCTATCATTTGTTTTTGTATGAACACTCTTCTTTTGCATTTGGATCCCAATCAAGTCTCTCGTAATTAAATTGATAAATAAATCATAGTTTTTTTTTCCTTTATTCAATTTTTTTTTTCAACCTTAGAGTCTAAAGGCTTTCATTTGAGTAGATCTCAAACTGAATATATGGAATGTAATTTTAGTAATAATAGTTATATTGGGAGGATTATGACTTTGGGTGATCAAGTCATTAATATGAGTACATGTTTTAGATATCTTGGGCTTATTGTTTAGAGTGATGGTGAAATAGATGGGGATATTATTAGTATAATTCAAGTTGGATGGTTGAAGTTAAATACTATTAAGTGTCAATGACTAAGCCTTGAGTAAGATAAGTAAATGCTGTGAAACAAATTCTTTATTCTTCTGTAACCGTGTTCATTCTTCATTATAGAGCTTACACGTGGCTCTCTCTCAATGGTCATCTAGACCCACCTATAGCTATTTAAGCTACTGTACTACATCTTTCCATGATGAATAATATTTTCTCACTTTCTTTCTTTTATCCGGTTCTTGCACTGTAACATGGTATCAGAGCAGGCCTTCTTGTGACTCCTCCTTCGTCTCTTCTTTCTTTCTTTCTTGTCGTTCCAGCCCTCAGGTCTCACCTGAATCCTCATCGGCGAACGGATTTCCTCTGCAATGGCGTCCTCCTCATCAACTGCGGCTACCACCGACGACAGACCCACCGCATCCAACATTCTTGATCAACAATCCATTCCGCAGCAACTAAAATTTCTCATGAGCAACATTCAGAGCGTCATTTCTATCACGCTCACGGCCGACAATTACCCCCTCTGGCGATCTCAGGTTCTCAAGATCTTCAAAGCCAACAGATTCGATGGCTTTCTTGACGGAACCTCTCTCTGCCCACCCTCCACCGATCTCGCCACCGCACAGAACTGGGTTCTCATCGATCAAAATCTCGCTGCCGCGCTCTACTCGATCATCTCCCCTAGCATTCTACCGTATGTTCTCTCACTTGAACATTGCTCCGACATTTGGGACACTATCGCCCGTCGTCTCCAATCCTCCACCCGTTCAAGAACTATCCAACTCCGCAACGAACTCCATCACATCTCCATGAAAACACAAACTATGTCTCAATACCTTCTTAACATCAAAGCTCTTGTTGACGCTATTGCCGCTACCGGCTCTCCCCTTGATCCCGAAGAAATCATCTTCTACACCCTTAACGGGCTTCCACCTAAATATCAAGCGTTCAAAACCGCCATTAGGACGAATCTCCAACCCCTTGGTCTTGACGATTTGTGCACGTTACTCTACAGTGTGGAACTAAACACGGTGCAAGAAGCCGCTAAAGACCTTCAACATCTGCAGCTCAATGACCCCTCCACCGCTCTAACTACCTACCGCGGTCCAAACAGCGGTCGCACCAATACCAGAGGACGCCCTCCCCCATCCAGTCGCTCTTCACGCCCTCGACCAGACAAACCAAATACAAGATCCATCAGCTGCCAAATCTGCTCCAAGCCAGGGCATTCAGCCCTAAAATGCTGGCATCGTCACGATCCAGCTTACACCGAAGATAACCCCAAGACTGCTTTATTCACTCAAGCCGAAACAACCACCAACAATGACTGGTTTCTTGACACCGGTGCCACCAGTCATCTAACGGCCGATCAATCACAACTTCACTCGATCAAACCTTTCAACGACAACCAGCATATCACCAGCCGATCAACCCCCTCAGGTAATCTCCAACTCCAGCAACTTCTTCATGTCCCAAACTTATCTTTCAACCTCATATCCATTCATCGGTTAACCAAGGACAACAATTGCACCGTGTTCAATTCTCTGCTAACGGGTTTCAAATCCAGGACTCGAAGACGGGTCGTTCTCTTCTCAAGGGTCCTTGCCATAACGGCTTATATCCCATTAGCTCTGCTGGTCGTCCATCACAACTCGCTCTCTTCTCGGCGCAAGAAGTCTCCAATCTCTAGCACATGCAATTGGGGCACCCCGCGTCCTCAACTGCAGCTCATTTACTTCAATACATTCCTTCTTTTTGTAATAAAAGTAGCTCTCACTGTAATTCTTGTAGATTGGCTAAAAGCCACCTTCTCCCGTGTACTCGCTTTACTAGCCGCTCGTCGTACCCGTTTGCCCTCGTACACTCCGACGTCTGGGGGCCAGCCCCGGTCGTCTCTGTACAAGACGCCCGCTACTACATTTTTTTTATAGACAATTTTTCACAATTCTGCTGGGTGTACCCACTAGTAAATAAATCAGATGTTTTTTTTTTCTAAATTTCAAGATTTCAATAATATGATTGATCGTCAGTTCAATGCCAAAATTAAAATCTTCAGATCAGATGGCAGAGGCGAATACATAAATCACAGGTTTGCTTCTCTGTTTTGACATCTTGGGGTTATTCATCAACACACTTGCGCTCATACTCCTCCCCAAAATGTGGTCGCTGAACGCAAACACAAGCATATACTTGAAACTATTCGTAGCCTTCTTATTGAAGCCAACCTCCCACACTTCCTATGGGCCGAAGCTCTCCTCACCTCCGTTTACCTCATCAATCACACACTAAGTCGATCTCTCAACAATCTCAGCCCGTACCACACGCTGAATCAAAAACCTACTTCCTATGATCATCTCAAGATCTTTGGGTGTCTTTGTTACCCATGGCTGAAGCCATATGTGCTATCCAAACTCAATCCCTTATCAACCCCCTGCGTCTTCATCGGGTATGCCACTACCCAAAAAGGTTATCGATGCCTTGACCCCATCACCGGTCGCATTTACGTCTCAAGGCATGTTGTGTTCAACGAAAACAATTTTCCCTATCGCTCCAACATTTCTCAACAAACCAATACTCCTACCAACACCACACTTCCGCCTCTACTACTTGTTCCAACCAACCTCTCCAGTCAGAATCCAACCAGGGTCGCTCCGCTCACAACTACACTCCAACCTACTCACTTAGTCCTCCCTAGCGTTCCTGCAACCAATCCCGCACCTCACACTGACTTAGCCCAAGCACCCACGTCCCCACCCCGACATCACATGACCACGCGCTCCAAAACTGGCAATCTTAAACCCAAAACTATTTTTAACCTCATTCACACGGACACTACCCATGTCACTGATCCTACCTCTTTCACCGAAGCTGCTCGCTACGAACACTGGAGGCAGGCCATGTCTGCGGAATTCCATGCACTACAATCTCAAGGTACTTGGGATCTTGTTCCCCCGTCTCCGGATCAAAACGTCCTCGACTGCAAATGGACGTTTCACACCAAATACCTCGCCGACGGCTCTATCGCCAGGCACAAAGCCCGCCTAGTCGCCAAAGGGTTCAATCAAGAACACGGGCTCGACTACTCCGAGACATTCAGCCCCGTCGCCAAAATGCCTACCATCAGGATCCTTCTCGTTCATGCTCTTCATCACGGATGAAGAATTCATCAACTAGACGTCTCCAACGCCTTCCTTCACGGCACCCTCACCCATACTGTTCACATGAAACAACTGTCGGGCTTCGTCGACGCCATTCACCCAACTCACGTTTGTAGCCTAAAAAGGCACTCTGCGGTCTCAAACAATTGCCAAGAGAATGGTTCGTCACCCTCTCCAGTCACCTCACCACCCTCAGATTCAAGCTAAGTATATCTGACACCTCCTTGTTCATCTACAACAAAAACAATATTACGATGTATTTCCTTGTCTACGTTGATGACATCATCTTAACAGGGAACTCCTCAACCGCCATCAACACGCTAATTACCAATCTCAATTCCAGATTTCCAATGAATGATCTCGGCACAATATCTCAATTCCTTGGCATTCAAGTCATCCACACAACCTATGGTCTTCACCTCAATCAAAGTCACTTCGCTCAAACTATTCTTTCCCGCGCAGGTATGACAAATTGTAAACCCGTCTCAACACCTTCTCATCTCAAATCTACACCCAGTAATTCCAATTCAAATGCATTCGCTAACCCAACTCTTTATCGTCAACTCGCAGGCTCACTCCAATACTTAACAATCACGAGGCCGGATCTATCGTTCGCCGTCAACCGCGTCTGCCAGCATATGAAAAATCCCACAATTGCTCACTTCGAAGCCCTCAAACACCTCCTACGGTTCTTACAAGGAACCATACACACGGGCTTTCCCTTGTTCCGAGACACACCAACACTCCGCAGCTATGTAGACTCTGACTGGGCCGGGGATGAAACCGAACACAAATCTACCATAGGCTACTGCAACTTCCTCGGGTCATCTCTCATCTCATGGGCTGTAAAGAAGCAAAACGCCGTAGCCAGATCCTCCACTGAAGCCGAGTATCAGGCCTTAGCAACGGCCGCGATCGAAACAATCTGGATCCGCTGGCTACTGCAAGAACTGAACATCCCTCAGCTCACCGTCACAAAACTTTTTTGTGAAACCACATCCGCGATCGCACTCGCCAACAACCCCGTACTCCATGCTCGTACCAAACACATTGAAGTCTATTGCCATTACATCCGCAGCTGCATCAGGGACAACCACCTTCAAGTTCACCACATCTCCACTAAGGATCAACTTGCGGATCTCTTCACCAAAGCCCTTCCAGCTCCAAGATTTCATCTGCTATCGGACAAGCTTGTGTCTTCTTCCGAAGCCACAGCTTGAGGGGGGCTGTGAAAAAAATTCTTTATTCTTATGTAACCGTGTTCATTCTTCATTATAGAGCTTACACGTGGCTCTCTCTCAGTGGTCATCTAGACCCACCTATAACTATTTAAGCTACTGTACTACATCTTTCCATGATGAATAATATTTTCTCACTTTCTTTCTTTTATCCGGTTCTTGCACTGTAACAATGCAACACACAATTACAAGCCATGTCTTTAGAACTATGAGAAGCATAGGTTAAGTGCTCGTGCATCTTAAACATGTGAAGATTAAATACTAATTAGCATGATTAATGATTTGATTAGTAATAATTGAAGTCCAATTATTCAATGATCATTTCTCATGAATTCCATTCACATGCTCAATTTATGTTTAAGATTTTAAAGGGATCTCTCAACATTTAAAGATTTAAATAAAATAGATTTTAATATACTAGATTGCTTATATGAACATAAATAACGGGGAGTTATTCTTTCGGTATAATAAGCGCTTAATATAAAGCTAATTAACCATAGGTGTCCTAAGTTAGGGTTTGATATTATACCTAATCCAAACATTGAATCTGGTTGATCTTGGGCTTGTTGAACTTATAAACTGTCCATGCTCCTATTTGTAGAAGAAATCGTGGTTTGAAACACTATGGATTGATGACAAATAGACTTGGATGGAGTTAGGGCTCAGTTCGTCAGAGATCTCATCGCCGGCGAGACTTTGACGGTGGGTTTGGCTCTAGAAGGGTGAAGGAGAACATTGAGAGCTCAGTGGAACCAAGATTAGGGCTTGAGGAGGCCTAGGGCACGAATAATCAAGATCCCCTTTAATAAGGCCTTAGACCCCTATTTATAGCCTTAACTCTATGATGGACGACCAAGATGGCTCCTAGAGTTAATTAGGAGGGATCTAAGCTCCCTTGGTCGTGTTTTGGGTCAAAGGGAGGCGTGGAGGTGTTTAAATGCCATATAGGTCAAATATTTAACCTAAATAGGTCACTTTTGACCAAATCAAGGTTGGGTTGACCAAGCTAAGTGTTTACTAGGTCAACATGGTCTATCAAACTCAAATTGATTAGGAGTTGAGCTAGAGGGGATTTGGAATTGATTGAAACTCAAATAAGGGTTAGTTGGACTTGTTTGGTCAACCAGGTTGACCCAGAACCTAGATCTAGGCTTGACAAGTTTGGTTTGACTTACTGAACCCAATTGGGTCTTAGGGTCTGGCTTGGTCCATTTGACCAAGTCAACCCTCTTGACCCTAATCTAGTGAAAAGTAAGGTCAACAAAATGCAAGTAAACGTCTGAAAGAAAGTATTATGTACGATATCTAATTTTTTTTAAGAAAAGTTGTTATGTGCTTATGAAAGTATAAATGCTGGCTCTAAGATAATGTATACATACTGTACTCTAGTACATTCCTATTTTTCTTGTAATCTATGTGTTTTAGAAGTCTTTATATTTTCTTTTAATTAACTGCTTTTAATGAGTTACTTTTAAATATTTAAATTGGATATCTATATTTTGTGAAGGGTGAAGGAGGGAGTCTACTGAGCTAGTTATGCTCATTCTGTTATTCTAATGTTTCAGGGAAATGAAAAGATCATGTTGAATAGATCAAGTGTAGAGACAGGGTTTTGGATCTGAATTTTTTAGATATTATTTTGTAATCCAACATTTAATTATACGATCGATAGGCTTCTATGATCTAAATTATTGCAATTATATTTTGATAAAATGAAAGTTGATTATAATATTTATATTTATGAGAATTGTTAGGGACTGATTATCATTATTGAATGATTGAGTTAGATAAGTATAAGTTTTAGCAAACAAATCCTTCCATTAAATCCTAAAGCATTACATAAGGAAACCAAACTCTAAATTTTACCACCAAGTACACATGTACTCTTTGATCGGTGGTTAGTCTAATTATGATAGTGCCAATATATCATCGTTATGAACAAACCCTAGTCTATTACACTATAAGATACATTTGATTTTCTAGTTCAATTTAATGCATTTAATTAACTTCCACTCATAATTTATAGTTCACTTGGATGAAAAAGTTGTGGTTATCAAGAAGGATCATTTGACCTAGTTAGGTTACCTTCACTAACCAAATAAATTAGAGTCAATGATTACCCATGATAACTTACCTACAAGATATTGATCAAACATATAAAATTAAACTCTAAACTAAACATTTCGATGTGTGGGAGAGAAGTATACCCCTTTTTTTGTACAATGAAAGCTATAGTAGTTCTAACTTATTGGATACCCAAACTACTCTAGCTTAAATAAGAGTTTTCTCTCTTGTTAAAGATACTAATCATGAGGCCTTTAAATTAAGAATATGAAATCCTTATTATAGGTAAAAATCTTTATGAAGCGCTTTATCATTACTTAATTTATCTCTGAAGATAAATAGTCATTATCAACCAATACAACTTGTCATGGTAGTCTATAAATCAGTTGTGTTATTAGGTAGTAAATATGTTGTTAATTTGTCCTTATGAGTCCTTATACTTTTATGAATACTTCCTATTAGTGAGTATTAAGACATTAATGAATGAAACAAAATAACTCCATTCTTTATCATTCTAGACCCTTTTTGCCCTCTTATTAATTTTTGGAGTTGCCAAAATCCTTGAATCTAATAAAATACAATATAGTCCTAATACTTTTGACCAGAAACTCCTATATCGTATATAAAAAAAAAAATACATATAAATTATTATAATACACCTTTAATTTTTCCAACCAAACTCCATAAATAAAAAAAATTGGAGAGAGTTTTGTGTGCATAATATATAGATATGGATTCTTCATTTATGAAGCTTCAAAGCAATTCAAAATTTCTTGAAAGAGATTCAAATCGAAATCTGACCGTTTCCACTTCCTCTGGCTTTTCACTTCAACAGCTTTTCCCTTTTCTCGTCAACACTTCAAACTACGGGCAGAGCTTCGCGTCTTCCTCTTCCATGGCGAGCTCGACCCTCTGTCTCACAATCGACAGGGGACCTAAGGCAGGGGAAACCCTAGCGTGCAACCCAGGAACCGTAATCCGCATTGGCCGAGTAGTCAGGGGCAACACTTTCGTCATTAAGGATCCCAGCATTTCTCAAAAGCATCTTACTGTTGGCTTCCTTCCTGAAATCTCTCGCTGGGTTGTTACAGACCTCGGATCATCCAATGGAACCTATGTTAACGATTCTCTTATTTCCCCAGACGAAGAACCAACCTCCCTCTCCGACGGCGACGTGATCAAGATCGGCGAGAAAACCTCCATCTCCGTGAGAATTTCAGATCCTGTGGACCAACCACTTTTGATTCCGAGATGTGATCGGCCGCCGAGGCCGCCGAAGCAGGTAAAGCTCGAGGACAAGGAGTGGGAGGAGAATGTGGATGAACCATCAAAAAATGGACAGAGGGCGAGGGGGAGGGGAAGAAAGGGTGGAGGATCTACTAGGGTTAAGAGGAATGTTGAGAACTTGGAGTCGGTGGTGATGGAACCTAGGGTGACGAGGTCTTTGGCTAGGGGTGGCTCGATTAGGGTTTTTGTGAAGAAGTTGAAGGGGGAGGATGTTACGATAATATCAAATTCAGAGTTCGTAGATGTGATGGAAAAGGAGAAACAATTAGAAGAGAAGAATGCTAGAGTTAAGGAAGAGGTGATCGTTGTGGATGCAGAAAATCATTCTGGTACTGAGGAGGTGGAGGATAATATGGATAATATATCAAAAGAGAACAATGCTGGAGTTGTGGAAGAGGTTTCTAGGGTTGAGAAGGATAAGGGTAATATGAATAATATATCAAAAGAGAATGCTGGAGATGAGGAAGAAGTGCTAACTCTGGATGGAAAAATTGACTCTAGGGTTGAGGACATGGAGGATAATATGAATAATATGACTTTGGGTGAATGGTTTGATAGAATGGAGGAGTACTTGCCCAAGTCAATAAATAAAGTTGCAGATGAAATAATTGACAAACTGAGGAAAAACGCCCAACTCTTTGATGAATACATCAGTCAAACTTCAAATATTCTAGTTGAATAGGTATGTGAACTCCTTTCTAATGTTGGTAATGTTAAGGATACTTTGATTTGGATAAAACAATATGCAGTCCTGTTCTCCCTTATATGTTTCTTATAAGTTATAATAATCTCTGCAGACCTTGTCCATTCAAAGGATGGAATGACTTGTGTCTGAATTTTTTTCTTGACTTTTTAAAGAATTCTTTTTTGTTCTAAATTTCCATTTCATGTCAATCTAATATTAAATATAGTTTGGATTTTGGACATGTTGATTCTGGAAAGATTATAGAGAAGTCTGAGTTTATGCCTATTTTTCCTTGCGTTACTCATTGTTGTTCCTTTCATGGATTTTTTTCTTCTCACTAGAAATCATATGATGGCTCAATGCTTTTGAAAGCTAGAAGTTAGCTAGTTAGTTCTGGATTATTCAATCTTTTCATTTTAGTCCTAAAATATTTAATTGTACTGATGCAATTATCTATTATAACTTTTCGGGCATATATTAAGGAGATTATTTTATTATTTGTAATGTAATAAGATTATATTTCATTGGAGTTAATCTAATTTTCAATAGCAATCAGGAGCAATTTCTTGAGCACAATTTACACAAGTTCCTCTAAAGATCATTCATCTCAATTGGGAGTAGTTATATGAACTAGGATCACTAAAAAATAGGGGTGTTAGCTTGGTTGGGCTGCACATAAATGAGTGCCTAAATAGAAAAGAGGCAGGTGATAAAGATAATGAAAACGTGAAGAAACTCTAGGAGAAGTGAGGAATTAATCCCCAAAGGGGATGCTACAAGAAGGCCTTTCTTTTTTCCATTATCAACCATCTAAATCATTAAGAATAGGGAATAGTGATATTTCTTTTCTTATCAATTTATTTAATTCTCTTATGTATATTAGCAATTGAATTTTGTATCTCATGGAGCCCATAATTAGGTTTAGAATATGAGAGTAACATCTCATATGAAGAATGTGACCATTAAGAGGAATTTAGTTTAGCTCAATAAGAATAGACTTTATTTGCAAACACAAAATCATTTGCAGATGCATTATCTAATAGAATCTCTAGAATTCTTTCCATCTATTCCCAATTTAGCCAAATAATTTAATATAATTTGAGTTATGAACAAGCTGGTGTGTGATAGTTCAACTATGAATTTTTTTTTAGTTTTTTTTTGTGGTAATGTTTCATTTACATCAATAAAGTGTGTTGGTAAAGTCATATATCCAGTGTCTGATCTGAAGTCCATATATCAAGGGTCAAACTAGTTCTCTTAGAATCAGAGCTATATATCATATATTTTTCTAAATATCTTCGGCATGACAAGTGATATAAAGGTTTGTTGTTGTTGTTGATGTATGGCATGGAAAATTGTAGTAGCCGTGTTTCTGAAAATTAAGGAATAGTTAGGTTTCAATGATGTATAAGCTCTGATAAACCTTATGGTCTCAACAAATGAGGCAACCATCTTCTGACAGCATGAATGCTATTTCAAGATGAGTTTTCATTTGTTCAAATTGAAAATTTGAGGAAGACTATGTAATGTTGGGTGATTTTCTAAGTATTCCTAATGTGAATGACACGTTTAAATGTCTTTTTAGTATTACTTTTTGTATCCTTGCCAAAAGTTTAAAAAGATTGATTGCAACGCCTACAAATAGTTTTAGTAACACCAACAATAAGCTAGTTAAACTCATTCCAAATTAGATGAATCTAGGTGTGGGCTCGAAAATTTGGCCCCGGCCTCCGCCCGCTGGTGTTTTTCTTTCTTCGGGGGGAGTTTTAACGAATTTAGTTCCGGGGTAAATTTTGGAAGGCAGATGGGTTTGTAGATAAAACACTATCCAGAGATTTCGCCCTCATTTTACGAGGACTTTATGATCTGAGTTCTGGTTTCCTATAGCCCCTGTAGTTAATTACCCCTCCCATTAATGAGAGAGAACTTTCGATTAAGGCTAGTCGTCAATCAGATACATAGAATATACGTGTTATCTGGCATATAATAGCAGAATGAGTTTGGATTTGGGGATTAGGTTTGAAGTTGGGAATTTGAAAAGTTTGATATTTAAAATAGAAATTTCACCACCTTGTACTTAAAGCGGGTGGTGGGGGAATGGATGATGGGCCGCCATGGTTCCGTCTTCCCGGGCCGTTGTGGTCCCTGGTCTACTTAGTCAGAGGAGGTAGTCGACTCAACCTGATAGAAGGATCCTTGTCGGCAGCCATGGATTGCTTCGTCCAAGGGAACTGATGTGAAACTAAATGCGATAGACAAAAATTGCAATTAAGATATTAATAAAAGTAGTGAACTTTGTTTGACTACCAATAAACTCTTTGTTTGCTGAAGTGAAGGTTTACGAATATGGCATGAAATATTAAGTAATAGCGAATGGCTACAATTTGAGATTAGTAGGACTTGCAAAATAACAACCAAAAACTACTGGACAATGCAAATATCAAAGATAACAAAAGATCCAAGTTTAAGATCTAGATCATTCACCTTGAGATCCTTCGCTCAAACTCTTGAAAGTGGAGGCTAGCGGAGGAGAATTGCAAGTACACTTAAGGATGCCACTACCAAACAAGTGATACCGAGGGGACTAGTCGCCGGGGAAGAAACCGGAGTTGGGGAAGTGGGCGGTCGTCCGATAAGAGTCCACGGAGTTCTTGGTCGTTGAAGCTCGATAGTCTCGGCGAGACATTAGACGATGCGATTGACGTAAGGTTCCACAATGACGTCGTATTCCCAATCCGGCTCGTAAAAGGGAGAGAGGAAGATGTCGATCTCCCCTTGCTCGTTGTAAGTGAAGCTGTGATCAACTTCAGGATCGGCCATGTGCCAACGATGAGATTCGGAGAGGGGATCGTCTTCTTTCCTTGTATTAACTTATCATGAGTAACTTGGAGTTTCACGAGAAGAGCGACACAAGAGAAGGGGCGGCCAAAGGTGGAGAAGAGGTGGTGGCTTGGGTGGGAGACTTAGGTTAGATTCGAGAGAGGAAAAGAGGTTTTATTCCAAACCTGAAATTAATTTCAGGATTTGAGTAAATTTGGAGGGAAACTAATTTGAAATTTGATTTCAAATTAATTGTAATTAAGGCAGTGATTGAGGATTAATGGGGAGGGGCCGAAGCATAGGGCCGGCGGTATGGAGAAAGAGAGAGAGAGAGGGGAAAGGGGAACCTGAAATTAATTTCAGGATTTGAGTAAATTTGTAGGGAAACTAATTTGAAATTTGAATTCAAATTAATTGTAATTAATGCATTGATTGAGGATTAATGGGGAGGGGCCCAAGCATGGGGCCGGCGGCAAGGAGAGAGAGGGAGAGAGGTTTTATTTCTAAACCTGAAATTAATTTCAGGATTTGAGTGAATTTGGAGGGAGTTTAATTTGAAATTTAATTTCAAATTAATTTGTATTTAATGCATTGATTGGGGATTTAATGGGGGG